GACATACTATGTGGAAAGAGAACAGGATAGGAAGAGGAAGAAGGGGTAAGTGATATTGGGGCTTTATGACTGGTAAAGTGAACTTCTCATTATTATTTTATCAAGACACCAATTCTTTGATGGAGGGATGTTGAAGAAAAATATCACCGTGTTCTGTACTTTTTCATGACTAACCGAAGCCCCATTGATTTCAAAGAGTCAATTCTGAATATGACTGAGTTTGAAACAAATTAATCAGCAAGTTATGATAGCGACCTAGTAAAAACTTTACATGGAATTGGGCTGATCTACCAGGTAGGTTTTTCAGTAATGGGTCAATAATATGCTATGCACACATAGGATCATAGACTTGGAAGATACATCAAGGGATATCCAGTCCAACCCTCTGCTTATAAACCTCCAGGGAAGGAGACTCCACTGTACTCTGAGGAAGCATATTCTACTGTTGAACAACTCTTACCATCAGGAAGTTCTTCTTAATCTGTAGGTGAAATCACACATAGGATCATAGACTTGGAAGATACGTCAAGGGACATGCAGTCCAACCCTCTGCTTATAAACCTCCAGGGAAGGAGACTCCACTGTACTCTGAGGAAGCATGTTCTACTGTTGAACAACTCTTACCATCAGGAAGTTCTTCTTAATCTATAGGTGAAATCTTTTTCTGCAATTTGAATCATGCTTCATGTCCTAGTCTTTAGAACAGCAGAAAACAAGCTGGCCATCCTTTCACTTCTCCTTTTATACCAAGGTGCTGCTGGGCCACTTCTGGTTATAATTCAAAGTGTTGTAATTAATGTTAGAAGCTAAAATAGCTGGAAAATATGAGGTTGACTTCTTACATACAGACCAGCTTTATCCACTGTGGTCAGCTAGGACTTGTCTTTCCTACCTTGATCTTAAGCTCCACCCTGGATGACAAAAGTGAAAGAGAGTATTTCTGAGAAAAAAAGCTCAAATTGACTGAACTTGTCCCTTCCACACTTTCACATGAACCATAATAGAACCATCCTTCCCTTCTTGCACATTGCAAAATTTGCAAGGCTCTGGGGAAGAGATGCCTGGAAAAAGCATCTACAATAGTGAAATGTACAAATATATGTACATTAAGGGAATTTGCATAGAAATAGGCATATATTGGGTGTAGAGCCTTGTCAGAAATGATCACATTGGGGAAAGTGTATGCAAAATGTGTTCATTAGGGAAAATAAGTGTAGACATCCTACCAAAATTTTGCAAACTTTGTGAAAATGAAATGAGGTGAACTTATGCTTTCAAATATTTAGTCGTAGAAACAAGTAGAATCTTCCTTTTTTGGTGGTCATTCTGGCCATATTTGAGACCTAATGCAGAAAGGTTCATATATCATTCATAGACTACCAGAACCATGAACCAGTTTTCCTACAGAGAAATCAATCTAGACATTGGGAAAGAATAAGGAAAGCAGTTCTAACACAGAGTACATTTTCTGTCCAGTTTTTCTTCATTTGGTTAAATTCTTGACCTCCCCGCCCCCCAGATTAATGGACCAATGTTAATATTATACAGTACAGAATAATTTCTGTTGCCTTCATTTTGTTTCAAATAAATATGCTATATTTTAAGCTAGAAATAATTAAGGCTGATTACTGCCATATGGAGTGGGTTTTTTGTAATGGACACTCAGGGTAGAAGCTTGAGAAAATGCTCCAATAATGTTTCCCATTTATATATAACCAAAAGTGGGACAAGGGAAGAGGGAGAGAAAGAGTAAATGAGTGCTTGTGTTTCAGGAACGTGATGAATTGGAATACTGCAAGCATTCCATCACCAGACAGTGTTCTCTAGATGACTCTACCCATTGATGTGTTAGAAACCTTTCTCTAAGACATGGAACAGATGACGAATCTTCCACCATTCAAAGTAGCTTCTGCAAAAAAAAAAAAAGGGGGGGGGGTTGGAATAGAAAGAAACCACATTTCCATAAAGCTTTATGGAACTTTAGTAGAAATATTTACTTACAGGCATCTCTCACTTATATCCTTCACCCGGTTCCCACTCACTCCCCTCAAAGAAAAGAGGAAATAAAATGAATTCATTGAAAGGTATTATAAAAGGAAAGCAAGTCAGTGAAGAATGTTTAAGTATGAAACTTACATTTAGGTCCATTCTTTGCTGAGGATTACGCATGAGTCCTAAAAATTTCCATAGTAAACTCTTTCTAGTCCAGTGACCTTACATATTTTAAATAAAACAGCTCTGTACTAGTTGGAGCTGCTCAGTGGAGCATGGCAGAGATATTAGAATGTCACTGTCATCGCTTGGAGTACAGTTCATAAGCGGCTCATGAATTCACTGCACACTCTTGTGTTAGACAAGTTTGCTGAACGTTATAGGCCAGGTCCTCCCTCCTTTGCTGTAATATGGCGCTCATGCCAATTTTTCTGGGATTTTTACATTTTGTTTCAGAATTGTCCATTTATTATCTGCTCATTACCCCCATATGGAGCATGTGACCAATAGGATGCCAATGGGGAAACAAAAGGAAATGGTGGCCTTGTATGGATGGATGTAAATAAATGTAAAAATACCTAGAATCTCTTCGGTTGCATTACTGTATGTTGTTTTTAAACCTCTGTAATTTAATCAGTCTGTCTTTGTTTCTCGTGAACAATCTTGAAGATTCCCAGCTTGAACTGTCCATTGACAGCATAGGTTATTGCTATTTGGGACCAATTGAAATGTTAATGGTTTCAGAGTGGACATTTTTAATGAGTTAGATGCCATCCTGTTGGCTCGAATGTGATGGGTTGCTATGATGCTGAACTATAGTACTTACCAAATGGGATGAACCATATTGAAGTGGATCACTTACCTAGTGAAGTGTGTACCTTCTGGATGTTGTCTGATTGTTGTTGTTCATTTGTTCAGTCGTTTCTGACACTTTGTGACATCATGGACCAGTCCACGCCAGAGCTCCCTGTTGGCCGTCACCACCCCCAGCTCCTTCAAGGTCAATCCAGTCATTTCAAGGATGCCATCCATCCATCTTGCCCTTGGTTGGCCCCTCTTCCTTTTTCCTTCCATTTTCCCCAGCATAATTGTCTTCTCTAAGCTTTCTCATGATGTGGCCAAAGTACTTCATCTTTGTCTCTAATATCCTTCCCTCCAATGAGCAGTCAGACTTTATTTCCTGAAGTATGGATTTGTTGAGTCTTCTCGCAGTCCAAGACACTCTCAGAACTTTCCTCCAACACCACAGCTCAAAAGCATCAATCTTCCTTCGCTCAGCCTTCCCTAAGGTCCAACTCTCACATCTCACCTAGAAATACAAAGTCTGTCACTGCTTCCACGTTTTCTGATATAGCTCCTCAATCACCTCATACATGAATGGGCTGGCTAGGACTGATGCAAACTGTGATTTGATGGAGTATTAAGGACCACAAGGTGACCTAGTGAAAGGCCTGGATATAAATACCACTAAGATATTCTGCTGATTTGAAGTATTTTTGGTTGATGAACAGTACAGCAAAGTTACAGGCATCCATTCAGAGTGCTTTCACACAAAAATGTTTTCATGGGTCTTCAAAAGGAATGTGTAATTTGCCCTAATTTAGCAAAAGCCTTTGGGTTGCATTCATTAGATAAGTGTGGAAATTTCCTTCCCAGTACTTGGAAAGATGTTTGTATCTTCACTGTTAGGAGCAAATGTCAAGATGGATCTTAACTGAAACATAGTTTCTGCTGGGGAAATTCTCTATGGCAGTACTACTCAAAAGTGGTACTCCCTGGACTGATTCTGGTCTGTGAGCCATTGGCTGTCAGTCCTTGCAAAGTTTCCTGGAACGAAAGAAATAATTGCACTCAGTGGGAAAAATATAATGCCAACCGCTTTCACATTGGGGGAAAAGTAGACAGAGAAGCACTTCTTTGTGAGACCTGATGTATCCCAGATCTCAATAGATAAGTCTTCATAGACTATGGTTATCTGTGAGGTTTGAATTCCCAAGATATTGTAGTTGTTCTTGACTTTCCTCATGCCTAAGCCTAAGTTTATTTCCATTGGACACTGAACACACATGTGTGCATATCTGTGTACCTGTGTGTAAATATGTACACACATGTGTACAAACACAGAGAGACACAAGGTCTGGTACACTGTGACTGGAGATCAAAACTTTGGTATCCATGTGATTAAACCCTCATATATCAAAGGAAATATATATATAGCTGGACCCAAAACATTTTGGGTAAACACAAAGACTCTGTACAAAGGCTGCAAAAGTGAAAACAAAAATGCCACATATCTTCCCTTCACTCTCACCATCTTGTTGATTTTCTGTCTGCAATGAGGGAGCTTCTCTCAATTCATAGCATAGGTGACTGTGAAAGTGTAGTGCCTATAAGGCACCAGCATGAATGTGCCAACTGTACCATGTAATGAACATCTGTTTGTGCAACTGTTCTTTAGGTATGGCAATGGGGAATTTTTGTAAGCGCCAAAGTCCCAAAAGTGCCTTAACAGTATTAATAAGCAAGTAATGGTAAAATAATAACAGTCAGCACCTTTAAAAACTAACAACAACAAAGTGTAGCATATGCTAGTGTTCTTCAAAAAAGCAATCTTATCCCAGAGATAGGCTTCCTATGAATCCAATAACATCAGGACAGTTAATTCAATGGAAATAATGTGATTTTTGCAAACCAACAATCGACTCCCTCTCAAAAGTAAGGAAAAGGAACCTGTCTCAGTCTTACCACAAAAAGAAGATGAAGGGTTCCTATGAAGAGGAAATCAGTTGCTTGCGCCATCTTGGATCCAAAAATATAATCTTCATAGAATTTACTTTTATCTACCATATGGCCAAGCTTATATATTTTAATACTAAGACCAGGAGCTGCAGTATAATTAAATCTCTGCAAATCTCTAAAATCAAAATATTGCTGTGCTTTGTATTCAATTACCTTTCTTTGGATGCTTCTTTTTTTTTAAAAAAAAAACCTCTTCTTTTTCCTGACAGGATAGCGGCAAAGGAGAACCTGAATCTGATGACGCCACAGAGTTTAGGAATTGTCTTTGGACCCACCCTCCTTCGACCTGAAAAAGAGACTGGATCTATGGCAGTCTACATGGTTTATCAAAACCAGCTGGTTGAGCTAATGCTGAGCAAATGCTCCTCGATCTTCAGTTCTGAGAAAGACTGACAGACTAGGAATGTTATGGAATATACTCACATCTGTCTTGAGATCTAATATTTTTACATTTCTGTAAACATCTTTCTGAAATATTTCTTTTTCCTTCTAGTGACAGATGCCTCATTTTGTGAAAACCTAATGACATTTTTGTCTTTACATTTCCAAACATTGGAGTAAAAATATACTGTCAACATTTGCTTATATGTACTCAGGATTAACCCTTTCCGTGAGTCATTCTCAGCACATTCTCCCAAGCTTTGTCGGTTTGTATTCCTTATTTTACAGCTGGGATTTGACAGTATGGCCAAATTCAGATGAAATATTGCTTAGAGGCATATGCAGGGGTGCTCCCAGGCAAGCAGGGTTGAAGGTTAATGGATTTAAATGGGGGTTTGGAACAATTAAACTGGTACTGATAATAGTCTATCACTTAAAATGTGATTTTTAATGTATATACCTGCTCTTGTCTTGGAAATGATCAGAACCCACAGAAGAGTAATTTCTCCTTGAGGGAAAGTCAAAGGATCAAATCTTGCCACTGATTTTCATGCTACTTTCCAAAAACAGGGACAGAAATGTTGTAAAGTTTCTGTTTTAAAACATAAATATGAAATTAACTGCTGAACCTCATCTTTAATGAAGCCACAGCATTGCAACAATTGTCCAAATGCTCATATTAAATACAAAATCCGTTTTGACTCTCCATCACTCTATGTAACTTTGCTCTTTCCCTATCTATGTCATGTTTGGGAGAATTCTATATTATGTTCTCAAAGATGCTTTATTGGTGAACGGCATTAAATTCATCTAGAAAGAACTTTTTCTAAAAGCCTTTTCATATGCCCTTAGGATTACTTGGCTAGACTTGAATCAATTTATACATTTGATGGTTAGTTTCAGTTGTCATGGATAAACAAAAGGGTAACTGTCTAGAATATATCAAATATTGTTTTATTCTGAAATGTATGTTTCCAGCTATACATATCCGCTACTCTGTTTTGTAAAAGTATTCCACTGATAAAATGTAGACTTATGTTTGACAGCTTTTTAATCAAGTTCAAAGAGAATAAATAAAACTAATCCAGTGTGGTAAAAGAGTCTGCCTGGTTATCGATTTGTTCATAAAATGAAAAATAAACCATGTAAACAAAATGTGTGAAAAAACAAATCCAGAAGCAAATATTTTGAGCAATTAAAACCCCTCAAAATACAGAATTAATGCATAAATCTGCTGTGTGAGAGAGATATGTCTAAAGTATCAAATCTAATAGTTAGGAATTACAATATCATTGTTTGACACCATTTTACAGTCTGCTACATTGTTAAGTAGTGGAAGTTGTGCTTTAAAATGATCATAAAGGCGCAAATAAATATTCAAGGATGCTGCTGTTTCATTAAACAAGTGCAAGTTCAAAGGGAAAATATACAGAATCCACAAGTGCAAAAAGAACTGGGCTACTGCGGAATCAAACACAACATAAGTGTTTATCACACTAAAGAATCAATCCACTTTCTGCAGAATTCTGGGGTGTGAAGTTTAGGGAGGGGACTTTAACAGCCTCACTAAACTACAAACCTCAGAATTCTGCAGGAGGCAGAAACTGGATTTAAAGTGGATTCATTCTCTAATGTGATGAAGTATATAGAAAGGAAAAAGAAAACACAAAAGTTGTAGCTAGTCGCAATACTTAAAGGAGCAAGAGTAACACTTGGAGAACCCTATAAGGAGCTGTAGTGTGAACCAGTCTCAATCCCAGTCAAGCTCCAAAACCACTGAAATGCATCTCTGTTGACCAAGTAAAGTTTGGTGATTGCTGAAAGGATTGTAACTGGTTAGGTCTATTACACTGTCCAACACACATTTTGATGCTTCAAATGTTAGCCCTGTTTCTGCATATATTTGACCTGCTGGCTCCAAAAATTGCACTACTTCAAATCTAGTTTTTGGGTTCAGAATATATGCCATCTACCAGTTGCCATCTGCTCACCCAAAGAAAACTATGATCACCATATCTATGAAACTAGAGCTGATGCAGTCTATCCAAAGCAATTTTCTGAATCAGCGCCCAAATAACCCTAGAACAGGCCTAAAAACTGAGGCATCAAGATTTGTTGTTTTTGTTGTTTGGCTGTATTTAGTTTAAGAACCTAGGTCTATATTATAATTTGTTTTACACTATCCTGCAACGTTTTACACTGCACGGAGGTACCACCATAGCAGCAGCCTTTTGGATGAAATGACACAATGCCCAGAACCAGGTTTTTGACTTGCCCCTGGAAATATGCCCCCTCCTAGAGTTTGGTTATTCAGGAGGAAGGACAAACTGAAGCACCATAGAATTCAGACTCTGGATTTTTTGTGTATTTGAATTAGGAAAAGAAAATTGTGAAATCGTTGATGTTGACCATATGTTTTTATTGTAAATAATCTTTGAGAATGTTTTTCTTCCACATCAGTATGAGGCTAGAAGTATGGTTAGGACAGAAAAAAAATAGTTTTCCACACCTTTATCTCATTTAGCAAAAAATATTCTTTGACAAGCAAAATTACATTTAACAATATTTTCACAATATGTGCTATAGCTCTAATTTGGCAGGAGCAGTTCCACTTTATCATCTGTTGTCCCACTTTTTTAGCTGCTTCATAAAATGTCCTGGATTCTCACTCCTCTCACTTTCCCATTTTGTCCCCAAATCACTTCAGTTCCTCTAAACCGAGTTCAAAGTACAAATAGTTTGCACAAAATGAACTCAATATTATTTCATTCTTGAGAGTATGGAATTCATAAAATGTGAGTTGAGAATATGTCTGTTTCTCAACTATAGAGGAGGCCACATACTGTACAGTGTGACCACTTATCCAAAGATACAATATTCACAATTTCATTTACCCATGTTCCAAATAATCCCCCCCCCCCCTCAAAGTGCTTGTGGGTCTCTCTAGATCCTCCTGTACAGTTCTATGATATGCTTCTGGCCCAAATATAGTCAACATATGTTGTTGTTGTTGTTCATTTGTTCAGTCGTTTCCGACTCTTCGTGACTTCATGGACCAGTCCACGCCAGAGCTCCCTGTCGGTCGTCACCACCCCCAGCTCCTTCAAGGTCAATCCAGTCACTTCAAGGATTCCATCCATCCATCTTGCCCTTGGTTGGCCCCTCTTCCTTTTTCCTTTCATTTTCCCCAACATCATTGTCTTCTCTAAGCTTTCCTTTCTTCTTATGATGTGGCCAAAGTACTTCATCTTGGGCTCTACTATTCTTGCCTCCAATGAGCAGTCAGGCTTTATTTTTTGAAGTATTGACTGGTTGGATCTTCTCGCTGTCCAAGGCACTCTCAGAATGTTCCTCCAGCACCACAGTTCAAAAGCACCTATCTTCCTTCGCTCAGCCTTCCCTGTGGCCCAGCTCTCACATCCGTAGGTGACTACGGGAAATACCATTGCTTTAACTATGCGGATCTTCGTTGCCAGTGTGATGTCTCTACTCTTCACTATTTTATCAAGATTGGTCATTGCTCTCCTCCCAAGAAGTAAGCATCTCCTGATTTCCTGGCTGCAGTCTGCATCTGCAGTAATCTTTGCACTGCCTCCATGTTTTCTCCCTGTATTCAACATCATAGAGATCATTATTAACTATGTCAACATATAGGGATCATTATTAACTATGGTTTCAAATGGTCACAAGGGATCTTGAATAATACCCCTCCCCAAGAATATAGGGGCCAAATTGTACTTCTTTCATTGATGGCATCTCAGCAGATAGGAGATAAGAACTTGGAAAAGCCTATCAATTGCATTATATGGTTTGGCCCAGAGAACTCCACAAAGCAAGTCATTTTATTGCCGATTGTGGAGGAGGTGGGGATATCTAGTCTAAGACTGCTGTAGAAGATAAGTATGGAGTATTTATTATTTATTTATTTATTTATTTACTCTATTTGTATACCGCATATATCAGCCTGAGGCGGCGACTCAATGCGGTTTACAATAAAAAGCAACACTAAACAATGTATGAGACACACAATACAGACAAACACATAATCATCAACGCCACACTTAGAATCAGATTCCGATCTCAAGATCCTTTTTCCATTCCTTGTCCGATGCCGTCATTATTGAGTTAGTTGTTACTACATGGTTATCCGAAAGCCTGCTCGTAGAGCCACGTCTTCACCCTCCTCCGAAACACCAGTAACGAAGGGGCCTGCCTGATGTCCACCGGTAACGCATTCCATAGCCAAGGGGCCACCACCGAGAAGGCCCTGTCTCTCGTGCCCGCCAGCCGCACTTGTGACGCCGGCGGAACCGAGAGCAGGGCCTCCCCGGAAGATCTTAACGCTCTTCCCGGTTCGTAGGAGGAGATGCGTTCGGAGAGGTAAGTGGGGCCGGAACCGTGTAGGGCTTTATAGGCTAAAGCCAGCACCTTAAATTGTGCCCGGTAGCGAATTGGCAGCCAGTGGAGCTGGTTCAGCAGGGGGGTGGTGTGCTCCCTGAGAGCCGCTCCCGTTAGCAACCTGGCTGCCGAGCGCTGGACCATCTGAAGCTTCCGGGCAGTCTTCAAGGGCAACCCCACGTAGAGCGCGTTGCAGTAATCTATACGGGATGTGACAAGAGCGTGGACTACCGTAGCCAAGTCCGACCTCCCAAGATACGGGCGCAGCTGGCGCACAAGCCGAAGCTGTGCAAATGCTCCTCTGGAAACCGCCGAAACTTGGGGTTCCAAGCTTAGCGAAGAATCCAGAGTCACACCCAAGCTGCGAACCTGCGTCTTCAGGGGGAGTGCGACCCCATCCAACACAGGCTGTAACCCTATACCCTGTTCGGCCTTCGACTGACCAGGAGTACCTCTGTCTTGTCTGGATTGAGTTTCAATTTGTTCACCCTCATCCAGTCCGACACAGCAGCCAAGCACCGGTTCAGGACCTGGACAGCCTCCTTAGTAGTAGGTGGAAAGGAGTGACAGAGCTGGACGTCATCTGCGTACAGATAACACCTCACCCCGAAACTCCGGATGATCTCTCCCAACGGCTTCATGTAGATGTTAAACAGCATGGGGGACAGAATTGAACCCTGCGGGACCCCACAAATCAATGGTTGTGAGGACGAGCAGGTGTCCCCCAACAACACCTTCTGGGTACGATCCTCTAGGAAGGACCTGAGCCACTGTAAAACAGTGCCTCCCAGGCCCATTCCCGCACGAGGCGCCCCAGAAGGATACCGTGGTCGACGTTATCGAAGGCCGCTGAGAGGTCCAGCAGAACCAACAGGGACACACTCCCCCTGTCAAGCTCACGCCGGAGATCATCCACTAAGGCGACCAAGGCTGTCTCGGTACCATGTCCCGGCCTAAAGCCAGACTGTGCCGGATCCAGATAATCAGTGTCTACCAAGAATGCTGGAGTTGTGAGGCCACCACACGTTCCAGGACTTTGCCCAAAAAGGGGAGATTGGAAACAGGCCGATAGTTGACGAATTGAGTGGGGTCCAGTGATGGTTTCTTCAACAGCGGTTTTATAACAGCTTGCTTTAAGCTGGCTGGAATTTTGCCTTCCCGGAGGGAGGCATTAACCACCACCTTCACCCACTCGGCCAATCCCCCTCTGGCCTCCTTAAGAAGCCAGGATGGGCAGGGGTCTAGGATGCATGTGGTTGCTCTCATCCCTCCAAGCACCTCGTCCACATCCTCAGGTTTCACAAATTGAAACGAATCCATCAAAACCGGACAGACAGATGTTCTCGTCACATCCTCAGAGACTGCCGTTAACATGGTATCCAGACCTGAACGGATCGAAGCGACTTTGTCCGCAAAGAACCGAGCAAATGCTTCACAGCGGGCTGTCGAGTTGTCAGGGCTCCCATCCAAAGTGGTGGGCTTCAACAGGCCTCTGACAACTCGAAACAGCTCCGCCGGACGGTTCTTAGCGGACGCAATATTGGCTGCAAAGAAAGATTTCTTTGCTGCCTTTATTGCCACGGCATATGCCCTTAGTAGGGCAACAAACCGTGCTCGGTTTGACTCGCTCGGGTCTGAACGCCACACACGCTCTAGTCTCCTCTTCTTTCGCTTCATTGCTGCCAGCTCCT